CCGAGCAGGAGGACCCCGACGTGTGGCAGGTCCTGGGGGGTGACAAGGACGACTTCCTTGTTTATGACCGGTGAGTGTCCCTCGATTCGCCTGAGGCTTTACTGGTGTTACAGAGTGTTTGATGGCTTCCAAAATCCCCTCTCGTGGCTGGGCTGGGGGCGTTCCAGCCCCCATCTTGAGCCAGGCCGTGACTTCTCCCCTCAGGTGCGGCCGCCTGGCTTTCCACATCCAGTTGCCCTTCAGCTTCCTCCACTTCCCCTATGTGGAGGCAGCCATCCGCTCCAGCCACGTCAAGGACTTCTGTGGCAACTGCTCCCTCTACCCCAACACTACCCAGGAGGTAAGGACTGGAATGCTCGCTGGATCCCTGCTGTCCTTGGCACTGCACATCAGCAAGAACAATCTTAGCTCCATGTTGGGGATGGGCTCTGGGTTGGCAGCTGCCCTCAGATGTGTTTGAGAGAGAAGGTGATGGAAGGTCTGGAATAAAGGCACTTAAATAGGTCAGAGCTTTCCCGTTGAAAAGGAATTGACTAAAGGGGTCATACCCCATGTCTGGGAATGCTAACTAGGACTGTTCCCATATAAGAAAGGGTAGGCAGTGGATGCAGAGGTGGCAAGCTCAGAGCAAAGAAAAGGCTGTAGCTCTGAGCTTGGCAGGCGATTAGTCACTTCCCAGGAGAAAAGTACAAGAAATACTGAATGCAAATTCCTGTTTCTGGACCACAGACAGCTTGAGCCAAGGGACACAAGTGTAGAGGCTTGTGCCCTGTGTGCTCCAGCCTCTCCTGTCTTCCCTGTGCCCTGGGTCAGGGCTGGAGAGCATTTGCTCTGACCCACAGTTTTCTGTTTGATGAATGCTGCTCTGCCTTCTTCCTCGTGCACAGCTGTGCTCCCAGGCTTTCTGCAGGGCTCTGTGGGCGTTCCCATACCACACCAGCCCTTGTGTTACTTCCTCAGGCTAACAGCACCATGGAGGGCCCTGCCACCCCAAGCTCCCTTCCTGAACATGAGGGGATGGAGTCAGAGACCCCGGTCCACCAGCACAAGCCCCTCCATCCTCACCACCATCATGAAGTCAACAGCGAGAGAGACACAAAGCCAAGTGAGGACCACAAACCTGCTACCCATGCTCACCACCACCACGGAGACCATGGCCAGCTCCATCACAAGGAAAAGAAGCAGAAGGAGGGGGATGAGCATTAAACCAGGCTGGGCAGCCTTGCAGAACCCAGTAGTGTGCAGACGACCCCACCTCCCTTCACAGAGGCATGGAAGGACTTGCTTTGGGCTGCTGGTCACCAGCAGTGCTGGTTTAACAACTCCCTCCAGCAAACCCCATGTGGGTTGCCCTCCTACGCTCTGATAGGGATGGAAATTCCCCTTGGACCCTGCTCAGTGCTGCATTTTCAGCCCCAAGGCTCAGTTCTGAGCCTTCATCTGCCACTGCCCGCCTTTCTGTGCTCAATGAAGCCCGCTGTGCAAACCAGGAGGTCCCTGGTCACTGCTGGCTGACACTGCACAGAGCAGCAGGGCNGGTGGCCTGGGCTCCCTGGAGCACAGCTCGTGTGTGTGCCGGGTCATTCCCTGCCAGCCCGAGTCCCGCGACATGAACTGGGGAAATGTGTCCCTGCGCAGTGCTGGGCGCTTCACAGTGTCCGGGGTACCCGGTGGGGACTTGGGGGGAGCAGCGTGCGGGTGGGGGGTGACAGCTCTGCGGAAAGTCACAGGATGTCAATCACAGGGACTGCTCACCAGCCCAACCCACGGCCCCACATCCTTGGGGCCCCTCAAGCCCCTCAGCAGCGATCCCCTCTACCCCTGCTATTTTCAGACGAATCCCCACTCTGTGTGTGTCTGGGATCATGTTCTGCCCCCGCTGTGACTGTGGCTGCTTGCCCTTCCCTCCCTTATCATGTTTTTGTACAGATCTCGGGTACAATAAACTGCTCAAATATTTGCAGAGATGTCCTTGTGCTGCCAGAGTGGTTAGCTCCTCTTGTTTGGTTGGGGGGTGGAATCCAGTGTCGCTGTGATTTCCCAAGGAAACACCGACACTATCACAGCCCCATCAATGTGGGGCCGGACAGGAGGCATGGAACTGGACACTGGGGAGTTGCTGTGGGGCCAAGCTTGGCCTGAGAACAGCCATGGGCACAACAGAACAGCCCGGCTTTGGAGGTGACACCGCACCGGGCAGGGAGCTCCAGCACCCTGCTGTGTATGGGAGGCGCCATCATTTTGGCTGCAGGGAAGCAGAGACGGCACTGGTGGCTCCTGTGGCACCTGGTGCAGGGATGGCGCTGTTGGAGGTCACCCCACAGTGGTGCAACCCTTCGGTGTGAGCAGTGGCCTTGGCAAGGCCCCCAGCCCTCCTGTGCCTGCGAGGTTCGGAGCGCTGTGTCCCTCTGTTCCCTGCAGCACCGCCTGTCATCCCTGGCGCCAGCCCGGCACCAGGCACCGCTTTGCTCCGGCACGGCTCGGGCTGGGCTGTGGCAGCAGCGCCCCGAGGCCACATGGCACCGACGGGGACAGTGCCTGCCTTGTCGCTGTCCCCTCGAGGCAGGCGGTGGTGGCCGGGGCGCAGTCCCCGCTCCAGCCAGGCTCTTCTCCTCCCTCCTGGGCGGGGAGAGTGGTCAGGAGATAAAAAGGGGACCGGGGCCAGCTGGAAGTTGCTGAAAGCTGCTGGGGCCAGGAGCGAGGGAGGACGGCAGCGAGGAGAAGTGCGGTATCGAGGGCTCGTTCTCGCGGGGAGAGGGCTGGGGAGTGGGGGCACATCCACCCTGACCAATCCTGCATCTCCCTGCTCCCTCCTCCCGACCCATATCCTCCCCCTTGCCCATTTTGTGTGCTGGATATTAGAGGGATGGGGAATATCCTGGGGTTGTTGGAGGATGGGGGCTTCAGGCAGATTTTGGAAGACTGAAGGGCTTTAAAGGCTCTGTGTACCCCCAAAGCACTTTGTGGGGCACAAAGGACTCTCAAGGTGACCTGAAGGTGAAACCATCTCTGTCCCAATGACTGCTCACTGGCAGCTGAGATGATGAGGGCTGTATCCCTGCTCCCTTCTGGGGCAAGGATAGACCTCTCTCTGGGGCTGGGTTTGTTTTGTGGGATCAAAGAAATGGAGAAGGCCCGTGGGAGGAGGAGCACCTTCATCTCTTGAGATATGGGAGTGAGTGTTCACTGCCAGGGGAGAACAGGATGCTCTGGCACCGGGTGCCCACAAAAGACAGTAGCAAGGAGCCCAATTTCCCCCCTCGTCCTCCTGTCCTTGTCTCCTGGGATGGGGGTTGTGGCTCCCAGTGCCAGGATCAGGCCAACACTGCCCACAGCCCTTGTCTGCCCTGGAGCTGGGTGTAGGGGGATATTTTGGGGTTGCAGTGGTTCTGGGAGGAGGGTAACACCCCGTGTGCCCCTGCCAGGGCCGGGTCCAGGATGGGGCTGCTGGTGCTGGCCCTGGCCACCTGGCTGGGGCTG